ACAGATTAATCGGTTTTCAATGCATTGTAGGTCAATGGAGACTCAACCTACAGACTTTTCGACCTACAGCCACCGTTCCAATACGGATTAATTCTGTAAGTAGAGGGTCCACTGTATGGGAAACAGGCCCTGGGAGAAGGAAACCTCTACTTTTTGAGAAGGAATAACTTTACCCCACTAAAAATGTCTTTTAATGCAAACATGGTGGTGGTTAGGTGTCACAGGTTACTTAACAATTATAAAAGGCAGTCACAACTTGAAAAAGATTCGAAACCACTGCAGTAAAAAGATATCCCTTTCTGTTTTTATCAAGGCTTGAATATTTCTAGCACATGAGGTCTCTCACCTCCCATTCCACAAGAGTGGCAGCTGCTTCTGCAGCCTTTTCGGCAGATGCTCCTCTGGAAGAGTTGCAGGGTGGCTACTTGGGCTTACTTTTCCAAATTCACAGAAGACTGACAAGTATGCTTCAGCAACAGATGACTTTGAGAGACGTGTCCTTCAACAAGTACAGTGGTGCCTCGCAAGACGAGCGCCAAAATGGTTTTTTTTTTTTCGCTTTGCGATGATTGGTTCCCTGCTTCGGGAACCGATTCTTGAAAAATGAAGATTTTCAGCCAGCTGATCAGCGGTTTCAAAATGGCTGCCGGGTAAAAAAAATGGCTCCCCGCTCTTTTCTGGGACAGATTCCTCACTGCACGGGCAGCGAAAATGGCCACGCTATGGAGGATCTTCGCCGGACAGTGAGTTTCAAGCCCATAGGAACGCATTAATCAGGTTTTAATGCGTTTCTATGGGCTTTTTTATTTCGCATTACAGTGGGGTCTCGACTTACGAACGACCCGACTTGCGAACAATTCGAGTTACGAACCTGCCCTATAGGGAAAGTAAGGACTCTACATGCGAACTTCCCTCGAGTTACGAACAGGGAAAAAAGTCCCCCCTCCCTCCCCTTAGAGGCTTCTGGAGGGGGGGAAAGGGTCAGAAACTTAAAAATAAATACTGTACTGTTAAATAAAGTCACTTACCAGGCCTTGGTAGCCCCCAAACCACAGGAAAAAGAGCAGGAAAGAGCTAAAAGCCGACACCCAGAAAGAGCCTGGCAGCCATTTTGTGGTTTTCCCC